GCGCCCCGACCCCCGCAGGCGGTGCCCCCCGCGGCCGCCGGCCCTGCGCTGCGCCGGGGACGTCCCCTAGGGGCCCGCCCCGGCGACCCCGCTGGGCTCCCCGCAGGGCTCCGCGGATCCGCCACCCAGCCGGGGACGCAGGCCCTTCCCTGGCCGCCCGCCCGCCGCGAGCACCCCTCCTCCGTGGCACCCGGCAGGGGTGGTTCTCCGGGTGGGCGCCTGGGCCACCGTGCCAGAGGGGCTGGGCAGCTCACAGGCTGCGGAAACGTACCCAGTGGGAGCGGCTCTGTTCCCAGCGCACCGCGGGGGGCCGCCGCCAGTGTCGCCCCAGCTGGTGGGGCGCTTCACCCCCAAGAAGGCGCCATCTCCGGAGCCGGAGGAGCGGAAGCGGCGTGGTCCGGCTGCCTCACCTTCTCCGGCGGCGCGGCGCGGGCGTGGGGCTCCCTGCGCTCCGGCAGGCCATGTGACCCACGAGCTGCGGAGCGACTGCAGCCCCCCAAGCTGGCTGGGTGGGGGTGGGGGCGGGGGAGGATGGCATAAAGCGCCAACCGAGGGGCAGAGGGGGAAAAGCAGGCTCAGGGCAAAGGAAGTTGAAATGCGGCAAGGTCTGGCTCTCTTTGCTCTAAAGAGCTGCAACCGACCCTTACGCGCGTTCTCTGCTGGAGATGTCTGTCATTGCCAATAATAATAATAATAGCTGCCACCCACCCGCCCCAATTCCTCCCGTCATTCGCGTTGTGCCAGGTACCTTACGGACATTACTACTCTCATTACACTCCTGTGCATTAGCAGTCACCCTCGATTTGCAAATGGCAAAAAAGGATTTGAAAGAGCAATTTGCCAAATAACAGCCATTATTTCAAAAGGCTGACATTGAAAGAGCTCTTAAAGAGCCCCAAAGTTAGGTTTCACCAGGCTAACATCACTTAGCTAAGCATTGGTTTTAGGTCAGTGATTCTTTCGACTTCCCAGTCAGCCTCTCCCAGAAGTGACTTTGGTAGTTGATTTAAATCACCTGTACCTTTCCCTAACCCCTTAATTTTGGCTATGTAGAGGATACCATACCTCACACATAAGAAAACTGAGGTTTGGCCTAATGAATGGTCTTGTTCACATGTCAAAACAGATCTAAACCCAGTCTATTGGGAGCCTATCAGCTACCAATAATTGGGTGCTTGTTTGCTGAGAACTGTGCAAAAACATGAACCTAATGCACTAGATGTTGGGCTGTTGACCACAAGGGCAGCGGATGTGAAAGACGTTAAGATTGACAGTCTGGAAACCCCTATGTGGGGCCCTTCTATGAGTCAGAATTAACTTGATGGCAGTGCGTTTGTTTGTTGTTGCTTGAGTGTGTGTGTGTGTGTGTGTGCTGTGCAGAACAATTTATATTATCTTTGTGGTCACAACGATCTTATCAGATAGCGACTATTATTATTGCTAAGTTAAGGAAATTGAAGTTCAGAGGAGATTATGAAAGTGTCACACAGCTGTGACAGAATTTGAATTCAAGTTTAGGTCCCTTTGATCTCCAAAGGGAGGTTATTTTTCAGTGTTGTGCAACCTTTTGTTCATTGCTTGATTTTAAGATTTTGCCAGTTGAATGGAGTGTGTAACCTGTATCCAGAAGCCCAGACTGGAGCTCATTAGTCATGGCAATTTCTGGGTGGTGTACGCTTTTGTTTATAGAACCCCGAACCAGCCAAACTCACTGCCATCGATCCCGTTCTGGTTCACAGCCACCCGACAGGATAGGGTAGAACTATCGTGTAAGGTGTGCAGGGTTGTCTGTCAGTCTTTTCAGAAGCAGGTTATAAAGTAGAACTGAGGAACAGGGAGGAAGACAGACATAACTGACAGGACAAGGGAGAGCAGAAACAGAAATAGCTTTATTTGGGGGTGTGCTCCAGGAGGAGGTTCTATGGCCTAGGCCAACAGGTCAGGGAAGTTGTGCTCAGAGCTGGGGGTGAGGGGTTTCAAAGGGGTGGTGAGGAATGTATGGCAATAAGCATATGGGGTCTGGAAACTCCAAATTGCTTGTCCACTCCTCGCTTGCTGGCTTTCTTTGAACCCAGAACATCTGGTTCACTGGTTATCTTATCTGGCTGTTATCTTCTCTGGCTCTGGCTGCTGCTGACCTTTGGGATGTGCAGGGAAGCACTTGCAGGGCCAGGACCTGCTTCAGCTTAGTCCAAATGGGGGCTGCCTAGTTCAGACCGGGCCCAAACATTCCAAACTTCTTAATATTGGTAATGGGGTGAAGTTTTTTTGTCATAACTACTTCCTGCTGAGATAGGGCAAAGAAGGGGATTAAGAGTTGGAAGTTTTTGGGGTGGGGTGTTGGCTCAGAGCAGGCTGAGCAGGGAGGGAGCTGGGAAGGGGGAGAGAGAGAGAGAATCCAGGGAGTCTGGTGGGTCTGGCTCAGGGAGGGGGCGGGTGTCCGAGGTACAGTGCCTCCGCCTTTGGGAGTTGAGGGGTAGTGGAGAAGGTGATGGTGAGGGATACTCAGAATATGGAGGTCTTACTGGGGGCACAGACAAGGAGTCAGGGGGTCCGGAGAAATATGGAAGGGGAGTACTGTCTGGGTCTGATTAAGAGAGTGTTTGGCTAGGAGGACTTGAGCAGGGTGACAGGTAGTAGAGAGGGATGGGAGCGAAGAAAGAAAAAAAACCTGAAAAAAAGAAAAAAACCTGAACATATAGGACTTCTGATTATTTGTGAGTTTGTTGATAAAAATTGTTGTGGTTGCGGGGAACGTTAAAATCAAAAGTGCTATTTTCTGGCTTTGGTTACAGAAAAAGACCAGGCATTTAGGGCAGAGATCAGGAGCCAAACCCTATTCAGTAACATTGGCAGTAGGCACCCCAAAGGACTGTCCTTAGGGGTTTGGGACAGAGGACTTCCCATTGTGTCTCAAACTGCAGGGGCTACTGACAGAGGAGAAGGGCGTCCCCTGGTCCCCCGTTCGCACCCTTCAGTCAGGAGGTGGCCCAGTAACCATGAGAGGTGTCTGGGTCAGAGCTAGGGGCCCAGTGGGAGAGTCCTGGACTTTCCGGAACAGGAAGGTTCCCTGGCGCAGGCCTGCTTCTTTAGCTGGCAGACAGGGACCTCGGATCAGAGAGAGACACATGGAAGCCCAGGAGGGGAAGGGGAGCCTGGCTTTATGGCCGGTAAAAAAGGAGTTTAGTTAGGCCTTTGTTCAGGGTGAGAGTAAGGGGAAGCAGAACATTTTACAGTAAGCACTGTGGGGTGCAGACACAAAACACACAAGCAGGTAGAAAAGGCTCAGACACACCTCCATTTCAATAATACTGTCTCCTTGTTGTTGTGTGTTGTGGTCATGTTGCGTCCGACTCATGATGACTCCATGTGGACAGAGGTGTGAAATCAGTCAATAGGCCACAGTGTTTTAATAAAGACCCTACACATAATTAGCTGATGGCAGAACACAAAACCACAATGCAGTTGAGAAGACTAACTACCTCAAAACATGATCAATGATAAATTTTGTCAGAAGAGATATTAAAATAATATTTTAAGCAGCAAAATCAACATTTTAAAAGAGATAAAGGACAATATTAGTAATATAAAACAAAGATGAGAAGAGGTAGGAAAAGCAAACCAGAAATATTAGGCATGAAAAAGAGGAGGATGTGGCTGAACGGATAAAGCTGAGGAATGAACTAGGACAACCAGATTGAGGAATTTTCCCAGAGGGAGTGGGAAAGAAGAAAGAAATATAAAATATGAAGAAAAAAAAATATGGAAGGCAGAAACAGAAGGCTGTGCTTGGCACTCAGTTTTTGTATGAAGCACCTTTCATATTTATCTATATAGAAATTGATCATTTTAGTTGCTTCATATGCATATGAAAATTGAGTGTTGAATAGGGAAGGTTGAAGAGGAATCAATGCATTTGCATTACAGACTTGGCAAAGAATATTGAAAGTACCATGGACTTCCATACAGACATGTCTTGGAAGAAGTACAGCCAGAATGCTCTTTAGAAGCAAGGATGGCAAGACTTCATTTCATGTACTTCAGACATATTGTCAGGAGAGACCAATCCCTGGAGAAGGACCGTATTTGGTAAAGTAGTGGGGCAGTGTAAAAGAGGAAGGCTTTTGACAAGGTGGATTACCACAGCGGCTGCAACAATGTGCTCAGGCATAGGAACAATTGTGAGGATGGTGTGGGACTGGGCCACGTTTCCTTATGTTGTACATAGGGTCACTGTGGGTCAGAACTGAATGGTACCTAACAACAATTCCTTTGTTCTGTTGGAATGACTGCCTCTTGATTCATGTATAGGTTCTCCATGAGTACAATTAAGAATTCCTGAATTTTCATTCTTTTTTTTTCTTTTTTTTCAAACCCCAGCCCAGCCCTCCTGAATTTTCATTCTTCTCAGTGCTATCCATAGGTTCTTATGAGCCACGCAGTTGAGTGCCTTTGCATAGTCAGTAAAACACATGTAAATATTTTTCCAGTATTCTCTGCTTTCAGTCAAGAATCATATGACATCAGTAGTAATATCCCTAGTTCCATATCCTCTTCTGAGTCTGACTTGAATTTCAGCCACTGTACTGCTAAAACCATAGTTGAATGATGTTCATCAAAGTGTTACTTGCATGTGATATCAATACTATTGTTCTATAATTTGTGTATTCTGTTGGGTCACCTTTCTTTGGAATGAGTTCAAGTATGGAACTCTTCCATTTGGTTAGGCAGGTCGTTGTCTTCCAGATTTCTTGGCAAAGGTTCAGGAGTGCTTCCAGTACTTCATCAGCTTGCTGATACATTTCAATTGGTATTTCATCGATTCCTGTTTTTCATTAATGTCTCCAGTGCAGCTCGGACTTCTTCCTTCAGCACCATCTGTTCTTGCTACTCCTTAAAATGGTTAAATGTCAACTAGGTATTTTCTGCATTGTTCCAACACTTTGCTAATATGATCCTTCAACATTGACACCCTAGACTTGAATCTTCTCTTGAGTTCTATCAGTTTAAGATGATGAACATGTTCTTCCTTTTTGATTTTTCAACTCCTGGTCTTTGAACATTTTGTAATTTGTCTGTGCTCTCAGCCAGGATCCATCGGGTGTCACCTGGTCTTCCCCTTGGTCTATAGAGTGAAATTAAATTCTTATTAAATGGCATGGCAGAGGCATCTGACCTCCTCTATCTGCACCAGGGGGAGAGAGGACTAGCATTAGCATCAGCCCAAGGCCAGTCCTGTTAGCTCCTCTCCCCAAACCTGAAACCAGTGTCCTTTCCTTAGCACACTCGGCTGGGCTCGATGACTTCGTGCAATGGCCACACAAAACTCACAGACAATACAGGCAGACCTTTGGTTATGATTGATCTGCTCCTATCTCTGTCTTTACGGCTTTAAGTGGACTGTGT